TGATTATATTAAAAACAAAAATTTTTGGGTCGTATTTTTGGGTTGTCACACTTGAAAATGGGCCAAACACTCCAAAAATGGACACCATCGACTCAAAATGCCACCATGAATGGTATAAGATGATTTCTAGGGTTTAAAGGGGTGGAGACTAAAGATATTAGGGTTAGGTTATGAGATAAGGAGTTTAAATAGGATCAAAGACCCTAAAATAGGGTTTTGATCTGATTGGAGTACGCCCAACGTACTCCGGGGAACATTCGCGATCCTCCTAGTCAGTACGCCCAACGTATTCTAGGGTACGCCAAGCGTACTACCTTCTTTGCTAGTACGCATCGCGTACACTTTGAGTACACCCCCGTGTACTCGACTAAGCTAGAAAACCACAAAACTTCCAAAGGCCATAACTTCTTCGTTATAAGCCCGATTATGACGATCCTTATATCCACGGAAAGGTGAAGAGAATCCCTACACTTCTAACAACTCAAACCTTTCTTAAGACCTTATGAATTACATGAGCATGTTATTTTAGTCGAGATATCGGATACCAAGCAGGTGTCAGGTCTTATCACATTAATGATTTCTTATCCCAAAGGTACATATATGTGTACTTTTCAGCCGTTTAACAACTATCTTTTGATGCTCATAAGATTTGTCAAAAGCCAAACATAATACAATATGTTTTAATTGATAGCTCCAATGTTTTGGTAATTATGACGATTTTACGTACTTGTTGTTATCTTGAATGTCAGATTGATCACAAAAATGATCTTCTAGTTTCGTTCTTTGGTCACACATGAGCATGGTTCGGTCATCTGTCATGTATGACCTTGGTTCGGTTAGCGACTATATATGATCTCGGTTCGATCATCGACTATATATGACCTTGGTTCGGTCATCAAGATTAACTTCCCATAAGTAAGGGTATATGTGTAATATCAGGCCATACACCCTATTAGCTACGCAAACGCAAACTAGTAGTAGTATGGGAGAGAAAGGGAAAACAGTTACCACAGAAAGTTAAGAAACTCCATAATGGTCAATGCCAGGCCAGGAAGTAGAAACATGGTTTGCGACATTAAACAATGGTAAAAAGGAAATGGTATGAAGAAAAAAGTTTTTTACATGGGAAGAGGCGCTCATAAAATTTCATGCTTTGTTGAAAAGCAACCCATAACACAACATCGATAAGTTGAGTAGCAAATGACAAGATTTGAACAGGAGGTGCACAAAATTCAATGGGATTTACATCAGGCTTTATTCAAAAAAATGAAAGTGGTTGCAATGACTTCGATTAGTTTAAAGCCGCAAAATCGCAAAATCGCAAAATCAAGTGTATATGGGTCATAGTTTCGCGTTTGAGAGGCATGAGAGTTATTGAAAAGAGATTCAAAATGGACTCAATGTCCAACATTGGCGGAGGTGCAATCTAAGAGGTCACAAAATTCATGTTTGGTCGACGTTTCTGACACATAGACTCATATAAACCTCGACAACGACACCTATATGATTCTAAACAACATTGAATAGATCACTCCTCTACTACAAACAGTAAGAACTGAAAAAGTGAAGCACGCGGCAAAACATGCAGATGAAGTTGTTAGGAAAGTAAAGCATATTAAGGAAATTGAAGGGAATTTTCAACAACACATATAACTGCAACAATGCTTTACGATGTGGACATTTGGAAATACTTCATAGACAAGAAGGGGAAGAGCTGGAGGGAGAAGAAATGTTGAATGAATTGACAATTTTTAGGACCAGCATGGAAGGTTTGGAGCCTGAAGATGTAGAAGTGGTACGAGCGTTGAAGGCAAAGATTCGGAATAAACTTAGAGGTAAAGTTTAAATTTTAGGATCATTTTATGATTTAATTTATCGTTTTTTTTTGGTCTTGTAGTGTTGGTTTTTTTTTTCAATTTAAATGTTATGGTTTTTTTGAAATAATATGTTTTTTTTTTTAAAATGACAAATATATTAAAATAAGAGGACCAGATTCAAACAAGGAGCTAGACGCGGCCACAAAACACAGGATTACAAGGTGTACATTTACACATCACCACACCTAAATGGGCAACACACCCAATCCAACCAACATCAAGTATTATGTTTTCCTCTATACATATGTCAAGAATACACTAGTGAGATTACATTTAACATCCCCCTCTGGCACATATCAAAATATTATCCGCTTTAGGCTCCCTGCACGAAAAATTTCCAAGGGGTCACCTATCCTTGAATTGTTCTTGCCCGGACACGCTTAACTGTAGAGTTTTTATGAGATATGCTGCCATCACGACTTTAAAACGTGTTGTGACAAGGAAGGTATCCACACCTCTTATAAGGAAATGTTTTGTTCTCACCTAAAGTAGTAACATCTAAATCCATGTATTTCATTTTAAGCCCTTGATGTATTTACAATTGGCAAATGAGGACCCTCTGTACGTTGGGCGTACATATATATGCTTAGCATACACAAGTGTGTGCATCGGGTAGCCGAGGCTGTTACGCAAGGCGTACAAGTTTGTATGCGAGGCGTATGAGGCTAAAGGCTAAAACCCTAACTCTCAGACTTGAGCCCTATTTAAGCTTATTTATGACCTTGGTCCCTCTTCCTTACCAGCCTCCACTGCCTTTAAACATCCCTAAAACCCTAGTTACCATTGAGACTGATCCTTGAGCTTAAAGGTGCCAAAATAACCCATTTTGGTGTGTTTGCAAGAAGAAGGAGGATGTGAGCTTGTCTTGAATGTAGGAGAGCTTCTAGATCCTGCATCTAGAACATCTTGAGGAGATTTTGGAGTGTGAGATTTCCGGACCGGTAGCCGAGTAGTATTTTTATCAACAGTCTAAGGTGATTCTTCTCACTATATCAATGGGTCGAAGACACCAATGCCAAACCCATTATCTAACATGTGGATTAGCAGTTGTTATGCAATTAATTGTCTGAAGACCCGGGGTAGCCCGTGACACTTGTGTGAAGACCATGGGGGTAGCCCATGACATTTGGATATCAGACCATTGGGGCTACCCATGATATTTGGATATCAGACCATGGGGGTAGCACATGACATTTCAGGTAAATACCATGGGGGTAGCCATAGCAACCTTATGTATGTGGCATGGTATTTTATGGCTGTATGTAATGTGATATTTTGGGAACTCAATAAGCTTTTGCATACAGTTTCTTTGAGTGTTTTTAGATACTTTTGGTACTAAAGGAAAAAGCCCGACTTGATGGCACAACATTCACTCCCAGCAATTTCTGTATTTATCGGTATTGATACTCTGTTATTTTGATATGATATGGTGTAATGAATTTTGAGAAACAAATAATGATTGTAATTCATATTTTAAAAAAATGAAAAATTTTATATGGATTTTTAGGTTGTTACATTACATCATCAACTACCATCGTAAAAGATTGTGGAATCATGTTGTACACTTTATCATTCCTCGCCTTTCAGATTCGTTAAAGGAGATCGTAGAATATAACGATTAATAAACTCGTTAAAAAAGGAAAAAAATAATGACATGCAATTTATTTTGCTTTGGAGGTGTAATGATCATTTCATATTAGGGATGAGAATTTGGCCCGAAAACTCGAACCGAACCGAAACCTGAACCGAATCGAACCGAATTAGGCCTGAATAAGCAATTCAATTTGGTTCTCAGATATCTATATTAGGCTTATTCGGTTCTTTGGTTATTCGGTTTGGGTTACCTAAGTAAGGGTTTATTTGGTTCTAAATACCGGACCCAGAATTGAAAAGTCATTTTTTTAATCGAAACTGAAGTCATTTTTTTAATCGATTTGATCGTGTTTTTTCTTGTCCCTCTTTCTGTGATCGAGTCGTACATTCAAAACAGAAAAAGAAAAACTTCTTGCATCGTATTACCGAAGTCGACTTCCTACTTAAGCATTCTTATTCTAAAATTGAGTGTCGATCCTTCCTCTTTATATTCAAAAATCGACCATTCCTTCTTTGTATCTAAAGATTCATGAATTCCTATCTTGTCTAGTCATGGAAAATCGTATTAGGCTCTTTTTGGGTTATAAAATTCTAATACGGTTTATTCAGTTATATTAGGTCATTAATCATCTTGTATATGTTATTCGGGTAATAACTGAACCGAACCAAACCTAACCAAACCTGTATTGGTTATTTGGTTCGATTTCGGTTCATGCAATTATCCTTATTCGATTTTCGTATTATTCGGGTTTAAGTCAGTTCGGTCCATAACATTAATCTTTATTTCCCATAATTGTGTCATAACTTCGAGGATTATAGGACAACACAAAAAATATATTATAATTTAGATCCATACCCACAACAAAAATAAGTAAGTAAAAATGATTTATATGAATGTATTTTTGGTTTCATTTAAGATTTAGAAAATATCACTGTTGTAAAAATCCCGATTAGGTCCCGATTAATCTTCGATTAATCGTTAGGCGCTACTCGGTCGATTAGAGAGCACCTAGCGATTAATCTCTGCATAAATAATGAGTGAAACAGTATAACCGATGAAATTTTAACATTTTGAAGAAGTTTTATCTCAATGAAAACTATTTGAAACATAATTAGTGTTGTATTAATAATATTAACTTATTTTGTGATATTAGTAATATTTAAAATTTTGATATGATATTAATCATATTTAATTTTTTAAAATTCAACAAATTAGCAATTAATGGTCCCAGATTAATATGTACCTAACCGATTAATTCTTTAACCCTAGTTTACCGACCAGCTAGGTCGAGCGACAACCTTAGGAAAATATTATGTTTTGTGAAAATTGTTATAACATTTGATCCCGTCCATTGGATTAATTGCTAGTTTGCTACTGGATTACTTTGAAAACGGTGCCTAAACATACGGAAGTTTTAGAGTCTATCCGTCGGTACTTATTACTCTAGCTGGATAGCGACGTTTGATCAGATGGTTAATTAAGAAGACATCTCAAAGAAAACTCAAACTTATATAGCGTTTGAGTTTATAATGGGTAAAGGTATTCATCTCACTGCCGCTACTCGCTCAAAACTTGTCATGGCAGATCCTCCAACCCATTCCTTCAAGTTCATCCCTCCAAGCTTCTTATTCAATCTTGTAAGCATCTCCATGCTAAATACACTTGTAGAAAATTTCACTTACAGGTCATCAATGTGCATAGTTTTGCATACGCTATACTCTTTATATTTATGCATACCCCTTCTTCTCATAATCACATTATGCTGTATGTATGCATTTGCAGTCGGTTCCAAGCTCTTTCTTGACGAACCTGAACGGAAAGAGATGCTTGAAAGCGATACTGAGACATGGCCGTCACAAATGGTCGGTAGACATTAACGATGGGGTTTTTGGTGACGGTTGGAGAAAGTTTGTGACAGAGAATGGAGTGCAAGAGTTTGACTTTATTGTGTTCAAACATCAGGGAAACATGGTGTTTGACTTTATGGTGTTTGACCAATCTACATGTCAAAAACATTACACAAATCTATTTGACGAAATCGACGAAGAACCTCTTACAGAATCTGATACGATCTCTATACATAGTAAGCTCAGTATCTAGTATGCATATATAGTCTGTACAATTTAGTATAGTGATTTCTTTTCCATAAAAGTTAATTCATTGGAGCTTGCTTTTGCTATTTGGCCCAAAAAAACTGGGAAATATATTTCGAGTTTGACATTCAGTCTTGTGTTGAAATGTTGATTGAAAGGACGGAAGAAGCTAAAAAAGCGCAAGAGGAACGATTATGCATCTCAAGACAAAGAAATATTTCAAGTTGATGACAGTGGCTGTTTCGAGTCCAAAATTACACCTTATGTCATCAAGAAATCAAGATTGGTTAGTCATCAACTTCATCTTAGGTCAAATGAGCTGCTTTTCAACTTTGATTTGATATGATATGATTTGTGTATTCTTGAACCAGATTTCATGGAAAACTATTATTGGATCAAAAAGCTTGTGTTAAACCCAGAATATAACAATCATATTTAATTTGAAACTAGTGATTGGTTGGTTTAACTTCAAAGTCAACGTATCAGTAACAATTGGTTTACATGTTTTTGCAGCATATTCCGATTAATTTTGCAAGATCAAATGGATTGATTACCCAGAGGATATACACACAAGTGTATCTAATGGATGATACACGAAGGACATGGCCAGCAACACTCACGAAAACTAAAACAGAGATTTGTGTAACTGGTTGGCGTGAATTCATAGTAAAAAATCACTTGAAAGTCGGAGACGTGTGTAGGTTTGAGCTTATTAAAAACGGAGAATTGCCTGTTTTCAAGTGCTATAGTATGTATCTTTCTCTCCCCTTTCATATATAGCTATTTAGGTTTCGATGAATGTAAGTTGTTAGTTATCAACCATTCTGGGTTAAATGAGACCAACAAGATGGATTCATCGATTGTTAATCCACCCAATTTGTTTGTTTATTCAGATAAGGGAAAGAATTTGGTGGAAAACCGTATTCAAGAGAAGGGAACTAGTTCTTCGACTCTTACCAATCACCCATACTTCATTTCAACTCTCAAGCCTACTACACTCAAAAGATGGATTCTGGTAACTTTTAGATCCCATAAACTGCACATATTCAATATAATCATTTACATATTGTGGTGCTTCTAATTTCAGTATCTACCTGCTGACTTTTCGAAACCAAATGGTTTAAAAATTGGAGAAATGATTCTTAGAGATGATAAAGGTCGATCCTGGAAAGTTCATCTCAACAAAATGAATAGAACATCTTTTTATCTTGGAGGAGGTCTCAGATCTTTTCTAGTTGCAAATGGAATGAAGGAAGGTGATGAATTCAAGTTTGAGCTCCTCGAAAAAAAGGACAAGTCTCCCATTGCCAACTTTCTGAGTATACTTTTTTTTTCTTAATTTTGGATTTAGTTTATATACTCTTCATAATAAATTTGAATGATCCAAGGCAAGAAAAAACAGATTTAATTTTTATATTCTATTTCGGATGCTCAGTTCTTAAAAGCAAGCAGCAGATTAAATCCCATAAAGAAGAAAAACTGTCACGGAAGGAAGGTTACATTCTTTGTGAAGAAGATGGTCACCCATACTTCATGGGAGAAGTGAAGTCCTGCAGCATAAGAAAATCAGTTCTGGTAACTGAAAATAGTTAAGTTATCTTTGTGAGAGAAGAGGGAATATTTCCTACTAACAAATAACAATGGTGTTTACTGTAGTTTCTGCCAATCAAGTTTGCAAAGTCGAATGGATTAATGAATCCCAGACAGATGACTCTGAAAAATGTGGAAGATGAAAGGTCGTGGACTGTGGAGTTAGAGAATTATAAGAATAGATACTATTATGTAGGACAAGGTTGGAAAGATTTTAGGGTTGCAAATGGACTGAAGAAAGGGGGTCGTTTCAAATTTGAGCTTGTCAACAAGGGGGAAAACCCCATTGTAAACTATTACTTTCAAAAAATCCCTACAAGCTACTAGACTTCCCCAATTAATCGGTATAAGTTTGTTAGTTTTAAAACTTCCTTAATTTGACATTTAACATTTGTGTATATGTATGGACAAAAATTTCTGTTGGTTATACAGAGGGGAATTTTCTACAGCAATCTGAATGATTGATTAAATGATCAGGGGTGTGTTCACATACACTTAGCATGTGAATACACTTGTTATTCTTGATGAAGCTTATTGTGTATCTGAATGGCTGTTTAGAGTTCATTTTAAGTTTCCATCAATTTTGAGACTTCAATTTTACAAAAGAGTATGCACGTGTGTTAGACTTTGGATTTTATATTTTATTGATGTTCAGGTTGTTTAATGATTAAATGATAACTACTTGCATATAATTTGTACAAAAAATGGAAAATGAAAGATGAGTACTTGAGTGGAACCATATAGCATACAGGCCATGAGTGGGATATGAAGGGTATCATATATAAGACTGAATGGAAAGGCAAAATTGTCGTTTGAATGAAAAAGACAACGGTTTTATATAGAGTTTTGCTGGAACTTTTCTGTATGCATGTGTGTTATCCTTGTTTATTCTAAGTAAAACAAATAACGCAGTCAAAGGGGATTTGTTAAAGCTTCTTTTTCATTCCACATATAGCGAAAAACCAAATATGGATTCTATGTCAAGAGACCTAAAATACTTAGTAAAATAGATAAACGAAGGTTGAAAATATATACAACCTGATTAACCATGATTTACAACCTGGTTAACCAAGAGTACTAATTGTCCAATACATGACTCACTTCTTCATACATGTTTGGATCAATTGGATGAATTAACATATAAAAGGCAAAGTACAATAAACATTCGGGAACTAAAGCTATTGTAATCTATAGTACCTTTCAAGGTGCAAATGTGTATTCATTTGAGTTTTATCACTTGTTGGGCATTCAATTTAAACTAGTAAAAGACTATATATGGACATACCTATCCAAATTAAAGGTGGGCATCAAAGTGATAACAATTAACAATGATCGACTCTAAAAGAAGCTACACAAAGAACTAAAAGAAGCTACATAAAGAACGGTTTAAAAAGGCAAAACTACATAAATGAAGATCAATTTACTAGATGTGAAAGAACGTAAAGCAAGAGAAGCGGGTCAAAATAACAGACAACATAGAGCGCTATGGGTGGAAGGAAACAACTTTATGGCTTGGGTTTTTCTTTTTGCGGTGTAATATGGGAGTGAGGGAAAGATTTCTAAAGGGCTTTCTGAATTTTAAGAAGTCTGGATTTTTAAGAGGGTCTAAAATTTTGTGGTGAATGATAAAAATAATCATTTTACCCTTCTGTATTAGTTTTTGCTGATTTCAATATTTTCATTTTAAAAAAATAACTGAACCAACTCTTTGAATAATTATAATTTATTACATCAAACGAAAAAAGCTCAAAATTAGACAATTTCGATTCCAACATCAAAAGTTTAATATGTATTAGACCAAGTTATAAAAGTAGAGAAAACCATCTAGCATACACAATTGTCAGTCGGAAACTTCCTATTTAATCATAAAAAAACAGGCAAGGGCATTGGGTATTGATTACAAGCCATTAATAAACACATTTTAGAACCATGGATGTTTACATTTCACCAAAAATTTATGTGTTTGAAACTTTTTACACAACTCTTATTTCACTTGAGTGCATATCAATAGAAATACATACATTTTTCCATTCGAGTCCCTATGTTCCAGCTTCTCAGCATCCGGTTCATGAGTTAACATTGGATAAAAATCACAATTCTTCACCTTCATTAGTACAATTCTTCACCTTCATTAGTAAAAACACGTATGAAGTCAATAACAAAAAGTTTAGCATGGTAACGTATCACAAACACAATGACCATCCATATAATGTCATAACTACATCTCCATTTTCCAATTAATCAAGGGACTTTACATACAAACTAGGATATCTCAAATTCATAATAATAGTCTTCCGTGTTCTCTATGATCATGATCAGACACAAGCTATCCACTGTGAATTTACATATGTTATCAAGTAGATAAAAAGAAAATAGTTGTGAAGATATTTTCATGCTTACCTGCACTATTATACATAAGACTCAAAAGTGAAAACATATCCATTATAACTAGACAAAACACACACATATGTACATGATTGTTTCATTCTAGCACCACTTAACATATTGTTGACCAGAAGAGTCAATCAAAGAGAACTGTTGATTCTTTCATCAAACCCACATTAAAAAAATGATATCAATCAAAATCATGGATAAGTTAAAAGAGATTGGTCCAATTCCTTTAATGCCATGTGGATTTCTTGAAATTCAAAAACATAATGCGTGCTTACAATTGATTAAAAAAATCGTTTCCAGAAATTAACCCTAGTATAAAGTCGATTTTAGATACACAACTATTACCTAATGTTGTTGTTGGCAAGTATGACGGGGCTGGCTGTGGAAGTGACCGACAAGCTGGCAACGACGTCGTCGCTGGCAGAGGTAGGAGAAGGGGCGATGGTTTAACAGTGCGTGCGACGATGGCCTACAACGACGATGGTGTGTACGACGTTGTGTGGGACGACGATGGTGGTCATGAAGTTCGACGAGATGCATGGGAGAAATGGTCGAATGTTTTTTTGATGGTTGCAACAAAATAGAGAAGAGTGTGAGAGGGTAGGGATTGGAAAAGATAAGATAGGGCGTTGTCACCAGATGCCTCAATCACCATGTGTCACTTAGTTTTTTTTCGACTAAGTCAGGCTTGGAACACTTCCTTATAATGTACTAACGACTATGATAACAAGAGATGCGATACGGAATGCTACGATGTAAGAAACGAAGCTTCTATTATTGACTCGATTACTTTACAAGGCAACTTCCTAATAATTCCTACAAATGAGACATCCTTCCTATTTATAAGTACCTTACACCTCTTCAAGGGGAAGTTTTTAGGTCCCGATCATTCTTGATTAATCTAGACTCTTCTTATTATATACATGGCCTTTACAAGACTCTGGAATATGGTATACTTGTCTACGATGCTCTAGAAATCTCCAGGTCATCCTGACATTATCCAAATCGCTCTTGTATGATCTAACGTGTTCTAGATCATTCCAAAGTCTTCCGGGTCATTCTCTTGATTATTCCGGATCGTACTCCTTTGTTCCATGGACATCTATAATATTCTAGCATCTTCCAGGGTCTCGTAGAGCATTCTTGATCTCTCCGGAGACTTCTCGAGTATACTTGATCATGCCAAAGTTCTCTAGTCGATCGTGGAATTTTCCAGAAACTTGGTCTGTGACACCCTCCCCCACTTAAACCCTTGAGTCCACATCAAGTCTTCTTGTATAGTGCTCTTTCAAGTGAGGTGTCACTTGTGTTCTTACTTCCTTGCCTGTTTTGGGTCTTCTTGTAGCCGCATGGAATATCAGACCAATTCTCAAGGTTGATCGTGATCCCATCTTGCATCGACATGTTACGATACGTTGAACCACGTTGTTTGGTCTCACATACTTCTTGATTCGACCATTATGATTAGTAGTCGCTTGTGAATTATGTTCCTTCTTCCAACTTAGGGTATTTTTCTGTATCGTCACGATTTCTTTAAGGCCGTTCTTAAACTTCATAGTCGATAGCGTTCAAGACCTTGTTCTACTCCTTTCCAGAGGTACATTGTGAATGATTGTACCTTTAGTAATACGCATAATGTTATCATTTTTGAACGACCATGGACGTACTTCGTCTAGGAATTCCATTTAATACCATGTTGTAGTCGTCCATGGGTACGAATTCCAAGTCAACGGTGCCTTCCTATTCTGCGATTTTCATGGGTACTCCACGTGAAACTCCTAGGAAAGGATTGGATGGAGAATTGACAACCTTCAAGTGGCCTTCTTCTTTCATGTAGTGGATCCCCAATCTCTTTGCTTTGTTTTCAGAAATAAAGTTGTGAGTCGCACCTGAATCTATTAGCACCTTGGTATTTCCTCCATTCACCCTAGCTTCGACTAGCATGAGACTTCCTACCATAGAACCACTCCCTTTCGATTCCTTTGTCTTGTCTTTTGCCATAGAGTTTAGAAGTCGCATGGAACTCATGTGAGCTTCTTTTCCTTCTTCTTCTTCTTGCAACACCATCACATAAAATATGTTTTTCATCGAACAATTTCGGATCAAGTGAGGACCATCACACAAGTAGCACTTGATCTCCTTCCGTTCTTCTCTTCGATATCTTCCTTTGATTGCTTTTCCTTTTGTATTCAAAGGTTGGGGCGTGTCTTGTTTTTGTTCTGGTTCTGACATAGTTTGTTCTCCCCTACTATTCTTTTTAACCGTGATTTCTCTTCGAAATTCCATTAGATCTTCTGCCATGACAATAGCTTCGTTGATGTCTCTAACATTTCTCCTCTTAAGCTCATTATAAGCCCAAGATTGTAGTCCATCCATGAAATAAAAAAGTGTGTCTTTCTCTTGCATATCGGGTAACTCTAGCATCAAGCTCGTGAACTCGACTATGTTGTCTCGGATGGATCCACTATGCTTTTTAGCCCACGGACTTTCTTCATCGCTATGTCTCCAGCGTTATGTGGGAAAAATTATCTCTTAAATTGCCTCTTGAACTCCTCCCAGGTGTCTGGTGTATAATCCTTTCTCAATGTCTCCATGCTTCCTTCTCCTCCATAGAGCTGCGCTTTCGCATATATAAAGGATGGCCATATCAACCTTCGTCTTGTCGTCTGTCACTCGGCTAGCATTGAAGTAACATTCCATCGACAAAAAGAATTCGTAGTTCTTTGGGGTCGCATTTACATCCATTTTTCAATGGTTTGGGTGCCTATGTGTATGGTGTCATCTTCGCAACGGCTCCTCTGACTATCGTTGCTTTATATAGTTTACTTCAGATTCTAATGTGGCTACCTTCTCGCGATATTCGTTTCACAATGTGTTGATCAATTCAAGGACTTCTTCTTTGATGACACTGATGGATTCCTTCATTCCATCACTTGTGTCCCTTATGTCGTTAACAGACTGATAAACGGTATGCTTCCACTCAAGGATCTCACCGACACTAATCTCAATCTTAGTAAGCTTGTTCTTTAAGTTCGCCAAGGTATCTACTTATTGGTTCTTCTTCTTGAACTTCCTTCCTTTCTCCTCAACAACAGGGGGAATGTTAACTACATCACTTCCTCCTTCCATTGCTACGATCTCTTGCTCGTACGAACTCTGGCTCTAATACCACGTGTCACGGGACGACTCAATCACCATGTGCCACTTAGTGTTTTTCGACTAAGTCAGGCTTGGAACACTTCCTTACGATGTACTAATGACTAGGATAGCAAGAGATGTGATAATGAATGCTACAATGTAAGAAAGGAAGCTTCTATTATAGACTCGACTACTTACAAGGCAACTTCTCAATGATTCCTACAACTGAGACATCCTTCCTATTTATAGGTACCTTACATCTCTTCAAATGGAAGTTTTTAGGTCCCGATTATTCTTGACTAATCTAGACTCTTCTTATCATATACATGACCTTTACAAGACTTTAGAATATGGTATACTTGTCTACAGTGCTCTAGAAATCTCTAGGTCGTCCCGAAATTATCTAAATCACTCTTGTATGATTTAGCATGTTCTAGATTGTTCCAAAGTCTTCCGGGTCATTCTAGCTTCTTCTAGTGCCCTCTTGATTATTTCGGATCATTCTCCTTTGTTCTACGGACATCTATAATATTCTAGCATCTTACAAGGTCTCATAGAGCATTCTTGATCTCTCTGGAGACTTCTCGAGTATACTTGATCATGCCAGAGTTCTCTAGTCGATCATGGAATTTTCCAAAAACTTGATCCGTGGCAGCGTGCTCTTTTTTTAGACTTTTATGATTCGGTAGACATTTTTATTATTGAATTTGCACATACTATAAAAAGCAATAAAGGTAGATTTGCAAAATAATAATAATAAATAAATAAATAATAAAACTCTATAAATAATTATCTTACTTTGGTTAATTTAGTCCTACTTTTATAGCACAATACCAAAAAAAAAAAAAGGTTCTAGTTGGAAGGAGATAGGGCTGTGAAAATGGCAATTTCATCATAAGAAAACCTTAGGATTTCGATTTCAAGTTTCTTGGTTCAATTAGAAGTAATCAAGTGGTTCAAGGTATACTTTCTTCCTCCCTTTGTGTACAAATCCAAGTTTCACATTTTGTTTAGGAGTTTGAATTCGATTTTCATCTCTCAAATACGGTTTTGTGTTCTAAGCAAGTTAAGATGATTATATTGGTTTCTAACTCAAATCATCATCCGTTGGTTGAGTTTGTTTGGTTGCTGGCTGTACTAACTAGACCTATAAAATCACATTAATCAGTGAAACTTGATTGGCATGGGTGAATAGTTAGTAAAATTTTAAAAAACACCATTCAGTATAGTATTGATATGATAAGATAATAATTAGGAGTGAACCAGGCGAATAGACAGAAAACATTTCAAAAAATAAATTCTATTCTTTAGGTGATGGGGAGAGTGGAATGGAGTAACATGATACCTTCAACGTCTTTGATTATTTTCTGATAGGTTCACCAATTCTGTGAAGAAAAGTTTCTTTTGCATACTGCAGTTGCTCAATGACTTTGTTGATGTGTAGCCGGTCTCTTGGCAATTCCATGGAGCAAGTAATCCCAATTCGATAGACTGAAGTCAGGCACTCCTCCATTATCCCATACCTTTTGCAGTCTTCTGTATCTTTATTTATATTTTTCTCTTGCTTGGTTTCCAAAAGGAGAGGATCAGTTATCTCCATAACTTGGTGTGGTATAGCCATTTTTACGAAATCATGAAGATTCAAACTGCTACTGAACATGTTGTGAGTAGGACGTTTGCCCGTAAATGACTCCAGTATGAGAATTCCTAAGCTATAGATATCGCCATATATTGACATCTGGCTACCCATTCCGTGTTCTGCATAGTTTACACATGAGCAAATGCAAGCTCTATCAAATGAATTCTACAACGACCAGATAGATTTTTCGTACCACCGTTGCAAAAAAATTATAAAAGAATGTTAATGAATAAACGTATTTTAGGGTGGATATACACCCCTAATGAACCAGTATAATTTATACAAAATCCATCATACTAGTTAGGCTGATCCTCTTTTGAAACAACTAACAAGGATGACTAGTATAAAGCTTAGTCTCAGTTTTGAAAGCATTAGGAAGGGAAATTTATTTCAGAAACTTTGTTTTGCAATTTGTCAAAAAAACTATTTCTATGAATGAACCTGTGATAGTCGATGATAAAGGAGCAGCTTCACCAATTTCTCTTACACTCACTGCTATTTATAGACGTATATGCTAAAAATCATCAACTTATGTACTTAATGATAACTTAAGAAGGAAAAAAGAGAGAATATGAGTAAGATATATTACCAGGAGCAACATATCCGATTGTTCCTTTTAATCCAAGTGAACTGGTGTGGCTAGAAGAATCATGTCTAGTATCCTGAAGAAATCTTGACAAGCCAAAATCACCAAGATGAGCAACCAAGTCAGCATCCAACAAAACATTACTAGGCTTTAGATCACAATGAGCCATTGGTGATCCACATTGGCAATGAATATAATCTAGGGCGCTAGCTACATCTATCATGATGTTCAACCTCTGTAAAAAGTTCAGACACCTGTATGACTGCTCATTCGCTGGATCAATAACTAGCGTATTCTGGTGCAACCAGTCCTCCAAACTCCCATTAACCATATAAGAGTAAATCAGAGCCTTGAAATCATTCCCTTTAAAATCAAGAGCTGAACAAGAAGTTACAATTTTTACAAGATTCCTATGTCTGATGCTTCTCAAAGCTTCACATTCTGCAAAAAAACTCTTGTCAGCACCATGAACTTCAAGTTTTAGTACCTTCACAGCAACAGGATAGGCTACATTTTTCTCGTACAGAATTGCCTTATACACAGAGCTGAACTTTCCAGAACCAATCAAATTTGCCGAAGAAAACCCATCAGTTGCTTTGTGTAATCTTCTATAAGAAACTTGTTGGAAGTTTTCATTATCCGAACTATTTTCTTCAGCAACCTTCTTATTATATCTTGATTTGTACACCAAACAGAAGATCACAATAAGAGTTACAGAAATCACGGTAAGTATTGGTACAACGATTATCAAGGAAAGAGGAATTCGTTTTTTCCTTGATAATCCTTCACTGGAACACTTAGGCAACCGAAATCCTTGGAAACCACCGCAAAGCTTACTATTTCCATCAATGGAAACTATGCTTAAATTTTTGAACGCTCCGATTTCTGGTACCTTTCCCACAAAACCATTTAAAGACAAATTTAAACTTTTGAAAAACACAAAATCTCCCAGAAACTCTGGGATTTTCCCTGTTAAATTGTTGCGAGAAAGATCTAGAATTTCTAGTCCTCTCAAGGAGCGGAATGACTCTGGGATTTCTCCATGAATGGTGTTTCCTGCAATGGATAACACAACCAAACTTGTGCAAGCTCCAAGATTAGCTGGAATCACCCCAGACATCATGTTGTTTGAAACATCAAAGGAAACCAAATTTCGCAAGTTGCCTACTTCCAAAGGAAGAGAACCCACAAAATGATTATCAGAAAGGCGTAGGGATATTGTCAAGGAAGATAGACTGAAAATCCCCTTGGGTATGTTACCACTGAGATTATTTTTAGAAAGATCCAACAGCTGCAACCCCCTACAGTTTGATAAACTAGATGGTATAGGACCCTCTAGTTTGTTACGTTGTAAATAGAGTCTGCTCAATAGCGTGAGATTTCCAAATGACGATGGTATATAACCAGATAATAAGTTTCGACTTAGAGAAATTATTCCGACATTTTTGAGTTTCCCAATTGACTCCGGAATTCTACCGATGAACTGGTTGGAGAATAGAAACAATCTTCTCATGTTAACCAGTTGCCCAATCTCGGAGGGGATATCACCCGAAATCAAATTTCCACCTACTGTGAGATCGGTAAGTAGAGTAAAATTAAACAATGATTTCGGTAAGACTCCTCCAAGATTGTTGGCACCAAAACCTAATCCTCTTAAGTTAGTGCAGTTGGCCAAAGAAGATACAAAGTTTAGGTTATCAGATTTCCCATTCCCGAGTTGATTAATGTTGACAGCAAAATGTGTCAATCTTTGTAGCCTATCAAAGTTCGGCACACTTCCAGTAAATGCATTTTCATTGAGTGCTAGGACTTCAAGATTAGAGGCATTCGATAACGAAATTGGAATATTTCCCGAAATTTTGTTTATCGGAAGGTTAAGAAATATAAGCCCGGGAAATTTTTGTGCGATATCTGATGGCAGATTCCCGCCAATCTGATTGTCAGGCAAATCTATGTTCGTCAAGGATGATAGATTGAAAAATGACGGAGGTAGAATGCCTGAAAGATTATTCATTGCGAACCCAAAAAACCACAAATCGGACAACTGGCCAAGAGTATCTGGAATGCTTCCATGGAAATTATTTCCCAACCCAGAAATAAACATAAGGGAAGTGAAGTTTCCAATAAACTTTGGTATTTCTCCTGTTAGATCATTGGAATGGAGGTTTATGTATAGAAGCTTGGTCAATGATTCAAACTCAACTGGAATAACTCCTATGAAACTGTTCCCGCTCAAATCAAGTTCTATGAGATTTCGACACTGAGATATATTAGCAGGAATTTCACCTGACAGAGAATTGTTGGAGAGTCCTAGCCTCCTTAATCTTGACAACCTGCCAATCTCTTGAGGGATCTTTCCTGTGAAACTGTTGTTGTGAAGGAGAAGCTCCCTAAGAAAACTCATATTACCAACTTCAGGTGATATGGGACCTGAAAACCCACCAGACCACAAATTGATAGTGACCACTCGCTGGTGCCTCAGACCACATATGATACCTGTCCAGTTGCAGATGTGGCTTGAATCGTTCCATGAAGGCATGATTTTATACGGGTCAGATGTTATGTGTGCCTTGAGTGAGAGCAAGGCCAAGCGATCTGTATCATTTTCAGCATCAGCAGAAAAGGTCAAGAAGATATTACAAAAGAAGAAGATGCAAGAAAGGATAACATATAGGGTTTGCAGGAAGCGCATATTGTTCTGATGCAGTACTCTTTTGGTAAAGAATCTCAGTTTTGTATATAATGCAATGAACAGGTTTAATCTGGTATAGTCATCTTTTCTAATTAATTATAGAATCATGGCATGAATAATTAAATAGCCTGTCCATATCTATGTGGATTTTAATAGTACAACAATTTGTCTCTATTCTCTTGTTTTACCTGAATTTTGTTGCCAAATGTCTTGATGTTGCTACTTTTGTTTAGAAGAGTTCCAGTTTCACAAGGAAGATTTGCATCATTATTTTAGTAAGCAGAGACTAAGACTTGAAGCAATGGTTGACATTTAATGGTTGACATTTTGCATGTTGACAGTGACTCTTCCAAATTAATTACAATGTTTTTTAATCGTCTTTTCCCAACAATATTTCAAATATGATGCCTTTTTATATCAATCACGTAAATATATATATAATGATCATCAGGAAATTGGTGTGCTTACCAATAAGGGGAGGTTTTGCATATAGTTACAACATGACGCGTTTTTAAGGTAAAGAGTACTTATGTGTTTTCTTGTATATTACCTTGCAAATGCATATTAGTAAATTAATTAACCAATTTAAATAGCACCAACAAATGAAATAAATAAATTAATAGAGAAAAATAGGACTGCAAAAAGATGAATGGTTGTTGAATGGTCACTGTATTATTAAAAGTGTGGTTACCTACTACCAGCCAAGCTTAGCCATATTAGTCAACAATTAAGGTAAATTCCAACGCAATATCATAGAATATATAGCGGTGAAGCTTCTCTCTCTATAGTAATCTTTTACCACATTAAACTTTTGAGATGATTTGTTCTGTCAATAATCCATCACTATTTATGTTTATAACTACACATTTCTTAATTATTTATTTCCGTTTTAACTGCTATGACATTCAATACAAAAATAATATAAAGGATACTTAACTAACATCAATTTAATTAAACTCGAAAAAAATATTATGTTATGGACATCACAATGGAGAAATATTGAGCAGCTTGTTGAAAACAACCTAAATTCGACAATGTTACAACATTACAACTTTCTTAAATTGGACCCTCGTTTGGTTGATTAGAATGGTCATCAATACTTCATTCGGATAACAACCACATGATATCCTTTATTCGGTGATACTTTGCTTTATTTAGATCACACATTGATACAAATTCTTATATTATAGCAAAATTTTGATTTTTCATTTTCAAAGTACAATCTTGTTAATCAAAAGACGTAACTCATAAAGTATAATGATATATTTGTGTATTTTCAAAGTACATTGTCTTAATGGGAAAGGATTTAAGACGGATAGTATAATGTTATATTTAATCCATTTACTCTTATAATATAGTTATGCAATCAATGATAATGCTGTATTTTTAAAGTTTTAAAGTACAATGTTCAAATAGGAAAGGTTGCAAGACAAACTATAACGCTATATTTTTGCATTTATCTTTAATGCTATACTTTTACATATTCAACGTACAAATGTCTTAATTGGAAATCCTTTAGAACATAACATAAAAATTTATATTTTTGCATTTTCAAAGTACATTGTCATCATTTGAAAAGCAACAAGACAGCTACATTGACACCATCATCATCATCATCATCAATGAATTCCAACAATTACCATGTTTTCAAGTCATTCTCAGATACAAAGACTTCTTTTTTACCACCCAAAATATTAAGTCAGTAAAGTATATAATATTTGTCCATGAATTAGAAGATTCCTAGTTGACTTTCAAGAAGAGAAATGTTTTGTTTCTTTTACCACTTGTACATGATGAAATTGGGTAACGAAAAGACACGGAAACACCCCCTCTTTTCATTTAAATGACTAATGTGTTTTAAAATCATTTATCCATCTTTTAAATCATCATTGGTAGAAAATAAGGTCTCACTCTCTTAATTAGTTAAAAGTTCACACTTCACAAGATTAGAGTTTGAGGATTTTCAATACAATATCAAAACATCAATTTAACCTAATTTACATTTGATGTCATTCATTATTTAACGTTGGAGTCACCCAATGGTTTCAAGAAAAGTTTTCTTCACAATTTGCAGTTGTTCAATGACATTTTTTATGTGTAACCGGTCTCTCGGCAATTCCATGGAGCAAGCAGTCCCAATCAGATAGATTGAAGTCAGGAACTCCTCGATTGGCCCATGGTGTTGTGCATTTTCAGTCACATCTTCCTCTTTTCTGGTTTCAAAAAGGACAGGATCAGTTATCTCCATAACTTTGTATGGCATAGCAATCTTCACAAAATCATGAAGATTCATACTGCTACTGAACATGCTGTCAGTAGGACGTTTCCCCGTAAATGACTCCAACATGAGAATTCCAAAGCTGTAAATATCACCACATGTTGATCTCTTGCTACCCATCCCGTGTTCTGCATTGTTTACACATGAAGTACTCGACACATGAAAATCTTATACCTCACTGATTATTTTTGTTGCAAAAATAAAAAATCCAAAACTATTTATAGAATACGAGGAATATAGATTAATTACCAGGAGGAACATATCCGATTGTGCCTTTTATTCCAAGTGAAGTGGTGTGGCTTGAAGAAAAATCATTTTGAATAAATGTAGACAAACCGAAATCACCAAGATGAGCAACCAAGTCATCATCTAACAAGATATTACTAGGCTTGAGATCACAATGAACCATTGGTGATCCACACTGACAATGAATATAATCTAGGGCCATTGCCACATCTATCATGATGTTCAACCTCTGTAAAAAATTCAGACACCTGTATTCTGCCTCATTCTCTGGACCAAGTAGTGGATTTTGGTGCAACCAGTCCTCCAAACTCCCATTGGCCATATAACAATAAACCAGAGCCTTGAAATCATTCCCTTTAAAATCAAGAGCGGAACAAGAAGTTACAATTTTTACAAGATTCCTATGTCTGATGCTTCTCAAAGCTTCACATTCTGCCAAAAAGCTCTTGTCAGCACCATGAACTGCAAGTTTTAGTACCTTCACAGCAACAGCTTGTGGCATGTTTTTCTCATACAGAATTGCCTTATACACATCACTGAACGTTCCAGAACCAATCAAGTTTGCCAAAGAAAACCCACCAGTTGCTTCGTGTAATCTCCTATAAGAAACTTGTGGGAAGTTTTCATTATCCGAATTAGTCTCTTCAGGAATCTTCTTATTATATCTCGATTTGTACAACAAACAAAAGATCACAACAAGAGTTACAAAAATCACGGTAAGTATTGGCACCATGATTATCAAGAAAAGAAGAATTCGGTTTTTTCTTGATTCTTCAATGGAACACTTAGGTAATTGAAATCCTTGGAAACCACCACAAAGCTTAGTATTTCCATCAACGCAAACTATGCTTAAATTTTTGAAAGCTCCCAGTTCTGGTAATTTTCCCACAAAACCATTGAAAGATAAATTTAAATCTTTGAAAAACAAAAAATCTCCCAGGAATTCAGGGATCTTCCCTGTTAAGTTGTTGTCGGAAAGATCTAGAATTTCTAGTCCTCTCAACGATCGAAATGACTCTGGGATTTCTCCTTGAATGGTGTTTCCTGAAATGGATAATACAACCAAACTTGTGCAACCTCCAAGGCTAGCTGGAATTACCCCAGACATCATGTTGTTTGAAACATCAAAAGACCCTAAATTCTTCAAGCTGCCTGCTTCTGGAGGAAGAGAACCAACAAAATGGTTATCAGAAAGATCCAGGTATATTGACAAGGAAGATAGACTGAAAATCCCCTTGGGTACGTAACCACTGAAATTATTATTACAAAGATCCAAAAGCTGCAACCCCCTACACTTTGATAAACTAGATGGTAGAGGACCCTCTAGTTTGTTATGGTCTAAATAGAGCCTGCTTAATTGCGTGAGATTTCCAAATGTCGATGGCATATAACCTGATAACAAGTTTCGTCTGAGAGAAATTACTCCGACGTTTTTGAGGTTCCCAATTGAATCTGGAATTCTTCCAGTAAACTGGTTGGAGAATAGAAACAATCTCCTGATGTTAACTAGTTGCCCAATCTCTGAGGGGATGATTCCAGAAATCAAATTTCCTCCTACTGTGAGATCTATAAGCTGAGTAAAATTAAACAATGATTTTGGCAAGACTCCTCCAAGACTGTTGGCACCGAAACCCAAACGTATTAACTTTGTACAATTGGCCAAAGAAGATACAAAGTTTAGGTCGTCTAATTTCCCGTTTCCAAGATTATTAACGTTAATGGCGAAGCCTCTCAATTTTTGTAACCGATCAAAAGTCGGCACATTTCCAGTAAATGCATTTGCATTGAGTGCTAGACGTTCAAGATTAGTGGCATTCGATAACGAAACTGGAATAGATCCGGAAAATTTATTAAAGCGAAGGCTAAGAGATTCAAGTCTAGGAAAACTTTGTGCAAAATCTGATGGCAGATTCCCACTAATCTGATTGTTAGGCAAATCTATATCGGTCAGGGATGAAAGATTGAAAAATGAAGGAGGGAGAATGCCTGAAAGATTATTCTCTGCGAAACCAAAAAACCACAAATTGGACAACTGGCCTAGCGTATCTGGAATGCTTCCATGGAAATTATTTCCCAACCCAGAAATAAACCTGAGGGATGTAAAGTTTCCAATGAACTTTGGTATTTCTCCTGTTAGATCGTTGGAGTGGAGGTTTATGAATAGAAGCTTAGTCAAGGATTCAAACTCATTAGGAATAGCACCACTGAAATTGTTCCCATTCAACTGAAGTGCTACAAGATTTCGACAATGAGATATATTCGAAGGGATTTCACCTGACAAAGAATTGTTGGAAAGTCCTAGCCTTCTTAATCTTGATAACCTGCCGATCTCTTGTGGGATGACGCCTGTGAAACTGTTGTTGTAAAGGATGAGCTCTCTAAGAAAACTCATATTACCAACTTCAGGTGATATGGAACCTGAAAACCCACCCGACCACAAATTGAGGGTGACCACCCGTTCGTGCCTGAGACCACATACGATACCTGTCCAGTTGCATATGTGGATTGATTCGCTCCAAGAATGCATGATTTGAAATGGGTCAGATGTTATATGTGCCTTGATTGAGAGCAAGGCTGAACGATCGGTGTCATATCCAGAATGGGAAGAAGAAACTAAAAGAATACTACAAAATAAGAAGATGAAGGAAAGTACATCATATATCGTATGCTGGAAATGCATTGTGTTAATTGATTGGGAAAAGAGTATAAGACAGTAAAACAAGGACAAAGGATTATGTGGAAGAAGTTTGTTGGATCTTTCACTGAAATATGGAGATGTTGTCTACTTGTCTAGATGAATGTTAGTGATCATTACTAATAATATCATGGTATCAGGAATCGAATAACCTGATAATTATCTGTTATTTAATAATACAGCAAGTTGTCTTCATTCTCTTGTTTTACACAAATTTAGTTGCCAAATGTCTTGATGTTGCTTTGTTTAGGAGAGTTTCAAGTGCATAAGGAAGTTTCTATCATAATGAAAATAGGAGTGTTTGACCTTTTGCAAGTTGCCAACAAAATTTCAAATATGACTTTTAATATTGATCACGTAAATAATAACGATCAGTGACATATTGTTAATTTTACTGGTAAATTAAGAAAGAATCCTTGTGTATTCTCTGATAAATAACCTTGCTAATGCATGTTACTAGAAATTTAATGAATTCAAATAAGACACCAAAATGAAATACTAAAAAATATTAAAACACATTTTAGGACTGCAAAAAATGAGACTTTTTTCAATGGTCACTATATTAAAATTCTAGTTACCTACTACCAGGAAGGAAACAATAAATAGCCACATTAATCAAACCATTAGGGAAAGTTTCAACGGAAAAATCATAGAATATTTAGGGGTGAAGATTTAGCAACAACTACTATGCATTTGTCTCAATGAAACAACCTATTTGCAAAATTGATGAAAAGGAAAGACTTCTTTTCCCAGGAACGGACGTACTTTTTTTTTAAACTTGGTGAAGGATCGTTGATAATTTACTGGATGATTCAGCTTTATACTTAGATTGTTTATGGTATCTAGAACATGTTTCAACACTGCATTGGTCCCTTTCCCTTTTGCTTCTTCTCTTCTTGGTTGGAGGATCAAAGGCCTCATATTGTTAAGGGGTTTTGCAAGAAAGATCATGATAACATGTTTATAAGTTCATAGTAAGTTCATAGTAATGATTACATATAAAAACATCTCCCATTTTACCCTTTTTATGTCATTTTTGACAATTTGGCTCGCTAAAGTTTCCTAAAATAGGAATTGTTGTGGAATGTCTAATTTTTTCATATTATTTGCTACTATAATATTTCCAAATTCCAATATGTTATAAAAAAATTCGAAGTCTATTTCATATTTACTTGCACTCATATGTGTTATTTATTTGAGCAAATTACATTTTTCTTAACCCAAAGTTTGTTATTTATTTGTTTCTTGAATAATTATTGTTGTATTAAGGTGTTTCTTGAATAATTATTTGTTTCTTATATGATTACTAAATTAATTAAAAATAGATTAAATTAATTAATAATTGATCGGAATTAATTTGGGATCAATTAAAATTAATTGGAAGTGCAAGGGCTGCTTGGTAATTGCTTAATAGTTGAACAAATGAGAGGTTCTGAAAACCTCTTGCTATGGACAGTTTTTAGAGTGACTTGCAAGGCAATCTGGAATGCTCCATTTGATAAAATGAAAGTACATAATTACCAGGATTTAAAATATTATTATTTTATGTTCAAATCTAGGGTTTCTAGGGTTTATTGACAACTATATAAAGAGGCATAAGGCTTGCAATTTTCAGCCACTACTTTCTAAGATACCCTAGCCGAAAATTTGCTTCACCTCTCATCTCTCCTCTTTTGTGTTATAGTTTAAAGCTTTCGGTGTGAGCCATAAGATGCATCATCCTATTAGTCCTAGCTTTCTGAAGATCTACAAAGGAAAGAATCAAAAGAATTGTTTGCTATAAAAATTCAAAATGTATCGATTTTTATAGGGTTAATCTAGGGTTTCGAGTTCATAGTATGTTGTCTTTAATGTGAAGACATAGATTCTTATATGTTGCATGTACCCTTAATTGTTACATGTTATTTTTTCACGTTGTACATGAATATTTTAACCTATGAAACACATCAGTGGTATCAGAGTCAGGTCGTCTTACATTAATTGTGCATGAGATGAATTGAGAAAACAAAAATATCGAAAAGGGCATGTCGTGTATATCTATTTTTGTTTTTCTGGTTGTTTTTTCTACCTTATTTGATTAGTTTGTTGTTAATTAAGTCATTCTCTGGTTTTGGCTTAGTTAAAATCTAATTTTACTTGCCTTATATGATTAAAACCCTAATTTGCAGTATAAGGATATAAACATGGAAACTAATCTTGTTATAAGATAATTGTATGATTATCCTTATGGATTTTAATATTTGATTTAATTAATGCTAATCATAAGATAAATATTAAATCCATAAATTATTTAAATGATTTAATTAACTTAATTAATAGTTTAATTAAAAGATAAAGATAAATCATTTATCGGTTTAAAAAGACTAATTAATTAATGGTTAATTTAAAATTAAATTTTAAACCTTAAAGTTTTTAAAATGTTTAAAATACACCATATACATATGTATAATAACTTTAATACTATATGTATGAGAAAAGTCGGTCAAATCAATAGTCAGCCTCATTCACGAAGATATGCTATAAGATGAGTATAAGCAAACGACCTATAAAATGACTGTTGAATGAGTGTCTTTTTCACACACCGCTCCTTTGTATGGTGGAGGGTCGTTAGCCGAACGGTTTTGATATGATATAATAAGATTAAAAGTATAATAATAAAGTACTAGAACATTTTTCAAAACTCTCACTCTAGTTACTTTAGGAAAAAATATGAAATGTATGTTAATCTGTGAAAACATACATCATTTCTTTGTTAGTCATTAGTGGAGTGTGTGGGGTTGACCGACACACTAATGCGGGACTACAAAGTAGAAATGATGGTACATAATCGATTTTATGGTTGTTGATGGAGCGTGTGTGTTTTACCGACACATTAATGTGAGATCATAAATGACCTTGAGTATGTTATGCTTGTTTTCATGGTTATTCACATCTTGTTTGTGATCTCCGACATTCCAGACACAAATGGAAGAGCATATATGAGATTAAACATGTCGTTGATAAGATTCAATGAATCTCACAATATCTAGCAGTTTCATATTAGAATGCAATTAGAATTATGCCTACCTAAATAAATGCATAATTAGATTACAACATCTCTCTTCTCATTTCGAATTATATTTAGGATCATGGCCTTGAATATTAATTTGGGTTAAAATATTAACGATATACATCGACTAACTAAAAACGTCTCTCTCAAACAGATGTCTGGAAATGGTGAAATTTATGCTACTCAAAACTCTACTCCAAATTCAAACTTCACTCTCTTGTCAATTCTGTCTAAGGAAAAGCTCATTGGTCCAAACTATATGGAGTCGATGAGAAACTTGAAGATGAATCTTTGTTATGAGAACAAAGAGTATGTTCTCGATAACCCCATTCCTAAGATTGATGAATTGACTGCTACTCCAGAAGAATTAGCTATCCACAAACAACATACCGACGACACCACTAAGGTCACTTGCATAATGGTTGGAACCATGGTACCTGAGCTATAAAGTTCTATGAGGACTATTAGCGATACAAAATAATCTTAGATCTTGTTGAAAAGTTTCACAAGAAAGCAAAACAAGAAAGGTATGAAGTTGTTAAGTCCTTAAGTACATGTAAGCTGAAGGAAGGAGAATCTATTTGCACCCATATACAAAAGATACAGAGATATGTAGGGTGGTTGGAAAAACTCAATGTCACATTTGATAAGCAGTAATCCATTGATATCATCCTTAACTCTCTATCTGCTAGTTATGATCAATTCATTTTGACCTATCATTTGAACAACACAAAGATGACATTGACCTAACTCCACAACTTGTTACAAACTGTTAAATTAAGAATGAAGAAGATTCATTTCCCTTCTGTGACAAGTGCTCCTATCCTGATCATCAATCATGGAAAAGGAAGGCAAGCATCCAACCCAGTTGGAAAGGGAAAGCCCATGTTGAGCGCCCAATAGCGGGTCAAGCAGTTCAAGTTCGCCGACTCAAGTTCAGGACCAGCTATGGGGAGGAGTTCTCAATGTGGCAGGTGTGGGAAGTTTCATATTGGGAGGTACCAATATTTTGCATGTCATAAGTGTGGCAAGGAAAGGCACTTGGGTAGAGACTGTGTGCAGAGTATGCGGGTTTGTTTCTATTGCAGCCAGGAGAACCACATCAGAGTTCATTGTCCCCTTCTTATTCGGTGTGGTTTAGAGCCTTGCACCCCTATCTTGGCAATTACCTGACGGACGTTATGGGAAGCCCCAAATTCCAGAGACCAATGTTTGAGTTAGTAAATCTTCGATTTGGTCGGGTACTACGTTGCTGATATCATTGTATTTTATGTTTATGTTGTGGAAGTTTAATTGTAATATTGAATGATTAGTTAAATGAAATTATCTTATTTAGCTATGTTTTTATGTGATTTCTTATTATGAACGGACTGGTTATTGTCCTTGGAGTTTTGCTTACATGTTGGAATTTATGAATGTTTTTGTTGGTGCAGATTCTCCTAAGTATTTGGATGTTAAGGGCAGGGATCAAGTATTAGAGTTCAAGTTGTCTGGGAGTTTAGAAGGATTGTTGAAGTTGTTATGGTCTAGTATATTCTAAGTTAGGGAGAGCGTAGGCCTCGTAGCAGGAAGACCTTATGCCCAGATTCAACTCTCATCCAGATTAATCCAATTCAAAACTTTCATGCAGCTACTTTGTAACGTCCCAAAAATCCATGGAAAAAAAATCATTTTTAAAACATTAATCCATACAACAATTTGTTCCTATAAACATTCAAGGAAAAATTAATATTTAAACATCAGAGTAAAAGTCGTAAACAACTACTATGGAATAAAACTATGTGGGATGCTATGTAGTCACGCCTGGTCCTTCCCTTTTGAACTGGAAGTACATGAAACCATAACCCTAAAACTGTAAGCACAAAGCTTGGTGAGTTTTCCCAAAATACCACATACCATACATATCATTAGGCCTAGCCCGCACATTAGGCCTAGCCCAACATACAATTAGGCATAGCCCTTCATACAATAGACCTAACCCAACATACAATGGACCAAACCCTACATGCATTCCCATGGGCCCAACCCAACATATAATGTAAGAGTCACAAAGGTAGCTAGCATCCTACATAACACATTCCAGTGGGTCGGCATTGGTACCTTCCACCCACAAGTATAGTGAGGAGACTCACCTCAATCTGATGTCAATAAATCATACACTTGTGTTTTTGTTACCATGGCTTTTCACACTGAACATATCTAAGATCATACCTAATCAATAATTAGGGTAATAATCCGTAGTCGTTCAACGTCCACCCATATTCTATCATGCTAAGGGTGTAAAATACTATTTTACCATTCCCATACTTGGCCCAACAATTCATGGCCCAAACCCAAAATGACCCAAAGCCCAAAATGGCATTCTGGTGAGTACGCCCAACATATCACCCTAGTACGCCCATCATACATCTTGATCGATGGAAGGGAAAAGGGTTGGAACCCGCAATATGCAGCGTACCAGAAGGGTACGCTCAACATATGCCAACTGAAGTCCAAAACCACTTTCTAAGCTCTTAATGCCTTAAGATCTAATGTCTAACTCCCATATCTATCTAAGGGATGTCTTAAGTCATAAATTTTTTGACTTTATGACTCTGCATGGCTTAATGGATTCCAAACCAAAGCCCTATATTCATAACTTCACTAAAGGACCACTAACTCATGTGTGGAAGAGATATACCCATCAAGATTCGATTTTTATGACTTAATGACCTCAAAATGACTAGAAATCAGGCTCAAAGGTTCTGGAGTAACTTCTACTTACAAGATCCAAGCCATGGTACCAAAACATGCTTATATCATAACCCAAAACTAAATCTACACTAAAGACCCATATATTTTGAAGCTTTATACCTCCAGAAGAAAGATCAAG